CCCCAAACCCCAAAACCCCAAAACCCCATGATGCTAATATTGTTATAATTATGAAAGACTTAATTTAAAGTTAGAATTTTAATTTAATGGAGAGTTTTCAGAATTAATATTAGCCCCAAAATCAGTATCATATGCAATATAAGGTAGAATATTTCGATAAATAATAGTTCCCGGCTTATGTAGAAAGAAATCTTAAACTATAAGTTAATTTCACTACACCCCTATATCAAAATTAAAATTTGACTTTAGCATATAAATAAGTAAGTCCTGGAAATGGAAATGAAGAAGAGTAAAGATAGATTAGATACTCGTTTTACATACCTCCAGATAATAATTTACAAATGAGTTCATAGGTATAAGTAGATTAAAGAAATTAGTAAATAAACTATGATATTTATGATCCATTTGTGATTTATGATTAAAATGAGTAGAACTAATCTAACGGAATGTATCTACCACAATAGATAGCTCAAAATAATAAAATTGAAAAACCTTAGTAAAAAGTAATCATAGAATAGGAAAACGAAGATTATTTAAATACATCTGTGATCAATACAGCATAAAATGCTTAGGACAATAGATAATTTAATGACGTATCAATGAGGCAAAGTATTAAAAGGAAATAATTTAATTCTTAAATAGTCCATAAAGATGGTAGCTGCTGCCAATTGTTTTGAATTTACCATTAATCGATGAATATATATTTATAAAGTTTAATATAATTTTAAGGTTTAAATCATGTTCAATAAATTAATCGATCAGAGAACTAATTTAGAGGATGGCTTTTTCGCATAAATGAGATAATTTCTGGTAGAAAGTTACTTTTCAAAAATTTCTATAATTTTGCTATCACTATATCCTTATTCCTAAATATAAATAAGTCTGTCGAGAACGATTAGTGACTCTGTCAGAGGAGATAGCAATGCTTTTAGGATATATATTATTTCAAATTTCTTCCTTAAAGGTTTGTAATTTTTGTCGAATTCCGATTAAATTTTATCCATGTCAATTTAATAAGAGTTAACCAGATTAATTTACTCCACATATTCCTTGAAATCTAATTCCTTAATCTTCTTAATTCTACGACGCTTATGAACTTATCCTCCACAATCATATGACTTTTATTTTAAGCTATTGCTTTCTTCTTCACCTTAAAGGGTGGAGATTGCATTCTTGTCTTAAATTATTGCTTCATATGCTGCTCGATAAAATAGCTTTGTAATTGTATCATCAAAGTTTTTTAGTAGTTTTTAAGACTTTAAACTTACTGTAGCTGCGTTCCTTACGCTTCTACCAAGGAATAATTGACTCAGATTCATTTATTGCCAAACATGTCTAGAAATAGGGAATCCAAAAACAAGTTCAGGATTGATTTCTTACTCTAGTTTGCACTCTACGAATTAGTCGTCCCATAATCTGCCGCTGCCCTCATCCACTTACAAGGAATTAGTGTACTATTAAAATATTTAGCTGCTCTTAATCATTTCATAATTCATCCTCTCTGTTAAGCAATTATAGCAGCAGCCGATTATGGCTAGTTAGTTTACGTTGGCATTTTTGCAAAACTCATGAATTGACAAGCTACTCAAATTACCGCATTGATGTATACCAGTTATTGTAATCTAATTCTTCTAACCTAAATCCGGAATAACGTCCTTATAATTGAGTAAGTTAATCCATTTAGTGTGAAGTTCAGTGTGAATTTAACCATTTAATTTCTCTCGCTTTTCAAATTCTTGCTTTAAACTCTGAATATTATTCTATTGCCCATCTACCATGATTATATTCAGCTTGTTCTCACTCTATCTTTTAACATACAGATCTGCTAATTCTAAAGAAACATATCCTTTTCCACAGCCTACATCAATGACCGTAGATGAATCTTAAATATTCTGATTTAAAAAATCAGCCATTCTCGAAGCTTCATGATCCTTCTTATTTCTTTGCTTTTAGTAGCTAGATGAGGGGACAAATAATTCTCTAGGATAATTCATCATTAACCCTTAACATTGCTAGAGAAAATATACTAATGATTCATCTTTCAAGCTTTGAATTTTCTCATTATCTTATGTAATATCTATCAATTATTTTGCCTCTAGATTTCCAACTGATTAGTACCATTCCTCAGGGATTATTTGTAGCTAATCATCTTTTAGCACTACAATTTAATTTATATTAGGGATATTACCGTTAATAAAGTTTAGTTGTAATAATTTTTCCTATTATTTTAGATGCTATATGATATTTAATGCGGACTATTCGTAAATTTTACTACTATTTGATATTGATTCCATTTTGATATTATACTCATTTTTAATTTATTCCTACTTATTGAGGATTACGGGGTTTTGGGGTTTTGGGG